TTTTGTTCATGTGGAGTGTGATGTAGAAATTCTTAAAAATAAAAGAGAGAGAGAGTGTGTATTACAAATATCATGATGAGAGTGACATAAAAGAAATGTGTGTTTGTCAAACTAAAAAGTAATAGTTTAAATATGAAACTCAATCTTTCAATAGTTTAGGAATGAAACTCAAAAAAAATGTATAGCGTGGATGTGTTTTTGATACTTATCTCAATTTTTATTATTAAAATTTTATTAGTTTCTCTATCATATTTTGTGCTTAGATATATGAGTTTGAATTTGAAAAACATATGTATTGCTGAATACAAAAATTGAGATATATATTTTATTTGTTTAAATTAATTAGTTATAACTTATTTTCTTAATCAGATAAATAATTGAGATACATAATGATACATGTATCCATCAATTTTGAAAGTTGAGTTAAATTAAAAGGGTATAAATAATTTACTCAATTAAAAGATTAGTTGATGAATTTTTTATGTATGGTATAAAGCTTAACTAGTTTAGATGTGCTTACTTTTGGTGTGAAATTTGTATAAAATTGCATATTATTTGAATGAATTGGGTATAGATTATGGTAAATTTAACAATATTGTTGGATTACCATCCGATTTGAATAAAAGATATCACCGATTTAGGGATGGTAAATAGTTGAATTTGGTTGGATTTGTATGAGTTAAAAATGGTTTGCACATAAAAAAAAATGTAATAACCCGATCCGTCCATCTTATATATGGATAAATATGATTTGAATAATTAATGGATAGATAGGATATGAGTTTATCCATATTTTATTTATATTGGTAGGAGCAGTATTTTAAAAGGTGAGGGCGTGAGACAGAGTGTTTTACTTAGTAGAGGACAAGAGACGTGGGGTGTAAGCCCTATGCATCATTAAATTTTAAATTTACAATATATATAATGATATAATAACACAAAATTATATTTATAAAGAACATCAATACTTTGAAAAACTTAAAAACATCATTAAGGAAACTCATATAAAATAAAACTTTGAATATGATTATACATATATAAATAATTTAATATCTTAACTTCCTATTAATAAAAGAATCATTATTTCGAAAAAATATTTTTTATCATATTAAAAAATTTACCACCCTTAAAGAAAACAATTAATAAAACTTACTAGTATTATGATAAAAATATCACTCCATTATGAATAACAATAAAATTACTTTCAAATAGTTGAATAAAATATGATAATTTTGAGACATACGGAAAAATCATGAACACCAATGATAAGTGAAAAGTAAAATTTCTATGTATTTTTACAAGACATGTTACGTAATATATAATCGCATTCACAGAGTTACCAAACAGTAAAGATGTGATAGTACAATTTGTTATTTGAGTTATTCTCAATCTTCGTATCTCTATAGATTAAAAAATTATTAAGTACCATTCACTTATTCAAGAATTATGAGGGTCAACAATGTTAAGTGAATATTTTAACACATAAATTGTGTAAGTCCGTTAAACGAGCCTCGACCGTTGGAAGTTAAGCATGCTTAGGGTGTACAGTCGGGCACTTAGAACATAAGTCTTACAGAAATAAGCCCCACATTTGAGTCTCGAGGCATTTTTCTAGAGCTCTGCCCAGCCGAGTCCTAACCGTGTTTTTTAAAACACTAGATTGGTCACTTAAAATCATGAAGAGAAAATACATTTAAAAAAATCATAAACTTGGTCGAATAACTTACTTTCGTACTTAAACTATATGGGCATTTAAATACCCCCCTCAACATATTTGAATCGATTTTTTTTCATCCTGAGACGATAAAAACACTCTCACCACTACATCATAGCCACATAAGCGCCACATAATAACTATGTAAGCACCATATCATTAATTTTTATTCTTTTTACTGATTCACTATTTTTTTTAAAAAACTTTTCAAAATTAACTATATTAATTGATTAATTTATAAATGCATACCCCAGCCCCCTCTCTTTCTTCTTTCTTGTTGTTCATCATTATTCAAACCCTCAATACTTACTTTTCTTTTTTTTCACCTTCAACAATTTTTTAAGTTACTTTAAAGAAGAAAATTCACTATAATATTCACATTATGTTCTTAGAGCCCTCCCAGCGAATTTACCCTCTCGGAGTGGATTTTTTTGAAAGCTAATTTTTTCTTGACAACTCAATAAGAAATGAAGATTGCATAAGAAAGTTCCCCCAAAAATATAAATTTTATGAGAAATGTTTGAATGGATCTAAAAATCAAAATGGGTCACTCAAAGTTTAAGAAAGTTTACATTTGTCAAATCAATGTCAATATTATAGAGTGAGACCGATGTCAATAAAAAGACATTGGTATTAAATTTTACGGACTAGTAAAAGACTAGTGAAATGAAAATAGTGAATAGAGGAGGGGATGAAGATGGAGGAGGAGATGTTTAAATGGAGTAAGATGTGTATTGAGGAATATAACAAAATGAAAAAAAAATTAAAAATTGAAGGAATTAAAAAGGGGATCCACTAATTTCATTTACATCTTTTTTTTAAAAAAAAACACATCACATATTTTAAAGATTTAATATATAAAATACACTATTTAAATAATTTTTTTTAATATTTACCAATAAAAAAAGGCCATGTGTAGGGCTTTAAAAATTCAGTTTCTTTTCTCTTTTTTTTTCTCGCACTTTCAGGAGAGTGCACTCAGTTTCTCTGCCACATCTTCCTTATGGGTATTTTAATCACTTGAAAGATGTTACAGGATATATAAACACCCCGTATAGTTTAAGAACTAAAGTAAGTTGTGCTATCAAGTTTATTTTTTTTTAATATGATTAAAATTTATAAAGTAATTTTTTATCCTACCCACTCCCACCCCTACCTCCAACTCACCCACTCCCTAATTTTATTTTTCCTAATCCCACCTCACAATCTTCCCCCCTCCACCCTCCCCTCACCCTCATCCCCCTGCCACTCCACCTCAACCCATCCACCCTTAATTGCTTTTATGTTTTTTTTTTAAAAAAAATAATTCTACCCCAACCCACTCCACCACACCCTTCCCAATTTTTTTTATGTTTTTCGTAAGAAAAATAAAAAGTTTTACCTTCCACACCCACTCCTACCCTGTCCCCCCCACACCCAACATCCATCACCCCGCCCCACCTTCCAGCCAGTCACCCCCAATTTTATTTTATTTTTATGTTTTTCCATAAAAAAGATTAGCTTTCTGCTATGTTTTTCAAAGAAAAAAAATTACTTCCTCCTCTAAGGAACCATCCTTGCCCCCACTTTCCACCCACCTACCTCTTAAATTTTTTCTTCTCAAAAAATTAATTAAAAATATTATGTTTTTTTTAAAAAAAAATCCCCTATCCTACCTGAATTAATTCTCGCTATGAATTACGGGTGAAGAAATTAAAGACAAGAAATAAAGATAGATATATTGACACAAGAAAAAAAAATCAAAAGCAACCTACAAGTATATTAGACCTAAAGACCTTGATCGATTAATTTGAATCAAGGACTGAATGTGT